CCGGTCCAGTCTGGGTCACACTGTACCCCTACAGTCCAGAGATCGCCGGTCCAGTCTGTGGTCTTGTGTTCCTGCTCTCCTGTGGCCCTGCCGGCTCTTCAGAGGACAGCAGGCCTGTAGTTCCAGAGTGCGGACAGCTGGACTGGCCGTCCCACGAGTTGACCGGACTTCCCGGGATGAGGCTCGGGCTCCCCTCGACTCTTGCCGTCCCCCCGGAGTCGAGCCCCGAAACTCCCCGCCGCACAGTCACATGACCGCGACCCGCCGTGGCGGTCGTCGCCGGACATGGCGGGGCCTCGGCGAATCGGGGGGCAGTGACCGCACGCGCGCGCGGGGAGCCCCGGTCCGATGCGGAGGCCGACGCCAAGGCGGCGGAGCAGGTTCCCGGGCCACCCGGTCCGCTCCAGGTTTTACCACGAGCAGCAGAGGGATGGGGGTCGGGAGTCCGGAAAACCTGGAGCGGATCAGGCCGCTGTGCGCTGGGAGCAGGCCCGAGGGGACAGGGGGGGACGGGGGGGACGGGGGTCGGCCCTCTACAGCTCCTTCTTGGCCTTGCGGCTGGGCTCCTCCGCGGTCAGCAGAGACAGGATGTCCAGGAGCGCCTGGCTGATGTGACCCCCGAACCGATGGGCATCCTGAGAGAGAGAGAGGGAGGGGAGAGAGAGGAGAGGAGAGAGAGAGGGTGGAGAGAGAGGAGGGACAGAGGAAAGAGAGGAGAGGAGAGAGGAGAGAGGGGAGAGAGAGAGGAGAGGAGATAGGGGAGAGAGGGAGGAGAGGAGGGAGAGGGGAGAGAGAGGAGAGGAGAGAGAGGAGGGACAGAGGAAAGAGAGGAGAGGAGAGAGGGGAGAGAGGGAGGAGAGGAGAGAGAGGGTGGAGAGAGAGGAGGGACAGAGGAAAGAGAGGAGAGGAGAGAGGGGAGAGAGGGAGGAGAGAGAGAAGAGGAGGGAGAGAGAGAGTGGAGAAAGAGAGAGGAGAGGAGGGAGAGAGGGAGAGGAGAGACAGGGTGGGAGAGAGAGAGAGAGAGGGAGAGGGGAGAGAGAGAAGGAGAGG